GGCTTTTCCTTGCACTTTATCTGCTGATTGTCCGAGTCACAAATTGGATCACAATTAATTTCGTTCAAAGCTTTGCATTGTGCGCCTTTTCTTATCCAAGTGATGAAAGTCAAATCGTTCATTACTGTCTCACCTTCGGCTTGCTTTTTGTTGTCTCGTTGTGCATCGGTACTTTTAGTTACTATAGCATATTTCTCAAAACCAATGAGCATCAACAGAATGTAGTCAGTTCGTTACAAAACAGAACCAACAATGGTGCATTAAATAATTCAGTGAGAGAAACCAATCTTACTCGAATGCTGTTCATCGTGGCCGTGGGATTTTTGTGTTCCTGGATACCAATGTGGGCAATAGTCCTCTGGTTTCGTTTTTCCCCTGAAACCTGCCCAAGAATTGCAGCTTTGGTTAAAATTTTTATCTTTTTTCTTAGTGCTTCAGTAAATCCCACTATTTATGCTTTCACCAATGACGTGTTCCGGAAGGAATTTCGAAAACTGCTCTGTTGCTGCCGTGAAAGGGTAAGAATGGTGCCAATCGGTAACTAAAAACGATTGCGTGGAATGGGAAGAACATTAAGCGAATTTTTATGTCTCACAGACTCGTGTCAGAGCAATACCATCTTTTGAAAGCTGGACGGAATTTTTATTTTATTGCTTCTATTTCTAGTTGATTTCGTGGTTCGGTCTCCTTGTTTTGTTTTGAATTGCGTGTGTGGGTGTGTGTCTGCGTAATTTTTTGGGGGTTTGTTTGTTTACGTTGTAGAATTACTAAACGCTTAATGGTTAATTCATATGTAAACGTATTATTTTTTATATTGAGCACAAATTTCATGGTAATTGGCCTGAAAATAATTGAACCAAATATAAATAATAAAATATTTACCTACTGGCCTGTGTTGTGTAGCTGTTTCAAGGCACACACGAGCGACGTCAAAAAGGTTATACAGGAAGGTTTGGAAATATTACGGAAAGTCCGATCGGTTTCCTCCAAGCGCACATTTCTAGTCTCCATACCTACTGATAGGCATAGTGGAGCACTCAGAGCGTAGCCCCATGCATAATTGTGAAATTGGGTCGGTAACCGATCCAGCCGAGACCGTTTGTTACTGTACCACCGTGCAAGCATCCAGCCGTCTGCACAAGATTCTACTTATGGCATGCTTTAACAGTTATGTTACAGGCACATCTTCCTCACCCCGTTACTCTTGTTTAAAGCTATCTATGGCCTAGCGCCAGCATATCTTAGTGATATTATATCATTCAAAGGCGATTCTAATTATAATTTAAGATCAAATTTTTTAGTAATTTATTAGCTCGCCCGGCAATTAGATCTGCCAAGACCACTGGGGACAGAGTTTTTATCAGTAGCTGCCCCATTTTTATGGAACTCTCTTCCGGAAAGTCTAGGAGCTGTAAGTAGTGTAAATATTTTTTAAGAAACAACTGAGAAAGTATCTTTTAAACAAACATACTGTTAATTGCGTGAACATTTTTAGACAGTGTACTATATATATTTTTTTATCGCTTTTTAAGTTATTGTTACATATAATTTGTTTTCATTTTATAATCTAACTATCATATTCCCTTCGGTTTCTTTAGACATTTTTAATTTATTGTAAAGCACATTAGATCATATACTTATGATGAATTTTGCGCTATATAAGTATTAAATTTATTATTATTATTATGACTTAGCATAACGCGCGCGCTGAATTTACACAGGGCCGTAATAACAGTTACTCTAAAGCGAGATTGATGTATCGAAGGAGCAATAGCTAGAAACAATACAGGCCAATTGAAAAGCACGTTATATTGCTTATAAATATTGCTGACGAAAAGTCGCAAGACCGCAGAATGTGCCGTAATTTTCTGAGATTCATTGTCGGAAATTACGCAGCATCTCGAATACTGTTCAGTTATATACACTCCAACACTGTAAAAATATTTTTTTTCTTGAAATCCTTATCAGACATACAGATTTTAGGGTCTTGCATGTTTTCAGGCTTTTCTCCCACCGTTGAGTGAATTGCAAATGTCAGTACGGGGAAGTTCAAAATGGAAAAAAAAGGTCCTAGTTCATCAGCTGGTCTTCAAAATGAACAAAAGCATGGTAGGCGTTTACTTAGCAGAAATCATAATTTAAAATGAATTTTGGTATGTTAAATAATTGGAAGTCACAATCTTTAATTCACTGATGAAAAGTATTTCCAGTTTGAACGCGGAATGATGGACGCGGCAGATCTCGGGCAGCATCTGATGTCCATTTGTTTTTTTTTTTTCTTTCGTTTTCTTTTATCATTGAATAAAAATATAGTACAGAATTGTTTACCTTTATTTTTTAATTCACATTTTGCAAACATAATAAGTAACTTACAAAGTTTCTAAAATCAGCCGGATTACGAGAGAAAAAGAGGACATACACAGTTACGAACTCAAATTAAAAGAAATTGCGAAGCTTTTTTGATTACAGTCACCGTGGGGCTTTTGTCCTCGTGTAAAAAAACTTTTAGAAAAATTCTTAAAAGATCAAAATACTCTTTAAATAATTCGTTGCTATCAGTTCCTTGATTTGAAATTATTGATATATTTCTTTTCTTCATCCCCATTTTGGTAAAGCTCTTCACCTATAAATTAAAACCCATGGCGAGACGGATAAGCTCGGCTGCACGTCAGATATTTTGTTGATCATCGACTTGAGATGATAATTTTTCTTCAAGTCTTTAAACAATGGGAAAGTGGAAGCGGATACAGCTTTTTTTCCTGCAGTGAGGTGAAACTACAAAAAAGCATCCTCATATCACTCAATTGTTTTCGTCATTTTAATTTTCGATTCCTTTTTGAATAGTAATGAACGCCTGGAAAAAGTTGAATTAAGCGTTGGTGGATTCGAATTCATGCACGATTCATGAACAATAGAATGAACGGCACCTCAATGAGGGAATAAACTTTAGTCGAGTGTTGTTGTTCGTAGCTGCTGGGATTTTGTGTTATTGGATACGAAGGTAGGCACTTGTCCTTTGGACGCACTTTTCCCGGAAACCTGTCTATGAGTAGCTATGCTTGTTGTTTTAATTTTTTCCTTTTTTTTAATCTAAGTGCTTCAATGAATCCCATTAATCCCATAGTCTTAGTAAATGAATTAAAAGAGGCGCTTGGCAAAGTTTTGACACCACTTGTAAAATCAACCAATCAGTAGAAATAGCAATAAATGTGTAAAGGTGGTCAAGGTTTTGAAAAGCATTCAGCCCCTTGGCACCCTCAGTCATTGAGATCAGTTATTATTCCTGTCATCTATCACAAAAAAATTTGACAGGTGTCTATTCTATGTTGGAACATAAATTATTTAGAAGACGATCCTTGTTCGGCAGTTCATAGGTTATAAACAATTGGTTTTGTGCTGCAAATGCCTTGCTTGAGGACGAGGAGTCAAAAAGTCCAAAAGGTCACTGTTTTGAGTTTTGTTCGTTTAGAAAACCCACGCACCCTTTATGTTTCCACGCGCGTGTGCGTAAATACTAATTTAAAAAAAGGAAGAATGATCATTTTAAAACCCCTTTGTGAGGGATGATAACAATCTTTGAGAAGTTAAAAAAAAGAAAAAAAAAGAAGACAAAAATAGTGAGATAACGTGGCGCCTTTGAATTTAGAAAGACTACTTGCGATTAGTTTTTTTGGCATCTGTAACCTTTCAAGAAACATAGGCTTTAAAAGGTGTCGATTTTGTGTTGGACCGGTAATTATACCGAATGTGATCTATACCTTTGTTATTGACTGCTTGTTCCTAGCCTGAAAACAGCTGGTTTTGTGATGCAAACGCTTTACTCGACTATAAGTGATATCGCCGTAGCTTTTTGGCAAAACCGAGAATCCCTTAGGAAAGTTATTGAAGGTGAAGTATGTTGAGACAATTATTTAGTGACCAAAGTCCATTGTTGAATATTTCATCAAACAAATGACTTTTCATTTTAATTTCTTCTGAAGCATATCTTTCCAAATACAAATAACATATTTATTTGTATCTTGATTCATATCAAACACAGGGGAAACTATCAGCAAGATAGAGCCCTATTGAAAAAAAATAAAAATCCAAAACCAACAACAGCAACAGAAACGTCTTTACGTCAGCCAATTTAAATTATCAACTCAAAACTTTAAATTATAGACGCGTTTGTACGCAAATAATAAGCAAAAGGAAACATAAAAGTATAAGGTGAAAGATGGGATAATAACTCTCGTTAAGGAGACAATTGATTCCAAGTTTCGCGAAACGTACAACCTTGAAATAGCATGGTTGGAAAAAAGAACGCATTTCTTGAAATGAACAATGTTAACACTGAAATGCAAAAATCGAATGGTTGCCATGTCATTGTTATTCATTGAGTTCAACCCCGCTTTTGCTGAATGCTGTTTTTTCTTTCTCGTCCTACACTAACATACATACTGCAGCTCTTGAAGAGCACCTTTCTTGTGTCTGTGATATATTTTTGAAATTTCGCTTTCTGGGGCATAGACTCGTGTATCCACTGGGTGCTTAATTTTATTACCTGTATATTACTGATAAATCTGTCTATATATTTATTCATAAATTTGCGTATTTATCTATTCATATATAAATATATATAAATGACACTTTTTGGTAGACAAGATGTCAAACTTAGACTTACCAAATCGAGGCTTACCTGTTATCATAGCTGAGGCAAGTGTGTGAATGGTATTGTGTATCATAAGCATCAGTGGAAACAGTCTGGTTTGTATAGCAGCATGCAGAAACCCAAAGTTACGACGCTTTGTTGTTGTGGCTTTCCTTAGCTCTTTACCTACTGATTGTCCGAGTCACAAATTGGATCAGAATAGAATTTAACCAAAGCTTTGCATTGTGCTCATTTGCTTACCCAACAAGTGAAAGCCGAATAATTCATTATTGCATCACTATTAGATTGCTTTTTGTTTTACCGTTGTCTGTCGGTATTTTCAGTTATTACGAGATATTTTTCAAAATCCATGAGCATAAACAGAATTTCAACGCTTCAAAACTCGCTAAACAGTAGAATGAACGACAGCCCAGTGAGGGATATAAGCATTAGTCGAGTCTTGTTCTTCGTGGCCGCTGGCTTTTTGTGTTGCTGGATACCAATGTGGGCACTTGCACTCTGGATGCGTTTTTCCCCAGAAACCTGTCCTAGAGCTGTGCAACTGATTGACGTCTTTTTGTCTTATCTCAGTGCTTCAGTAAATCCACTTATTTATACTTTCACAAATAGCGAGTTCAGAAGGGAATTTCGCAAACTTCTCCGTTGCCGCAACAAAAGGGCGTGGAATGCATCAAACAAAGCCATTTCAGCTGGTGACAAGGGCGACGGGTTACTGGACAGGCGAAACAAACGTCGAAGTGTAGTTAGCTTTCCAACTGTCTGAAATATCATCCTATTTGCTAAGGTTTGAGTGGATTTTTTTATTGCTGTTGTCGTTGTTACTCTTTCGATCTATTCCGTTCCGTCAGCACTAGATGTTCATTTTTCTATGCTGACTTTTTATGTTTGTTCCATTACTCTGTTTTGTTTCTTTTTGTTCTCTAAATTCATTTTAAGAAAATGGCTTCTTGCATTTGGTAAAACTTACAGCTGTTTAGCTTGTTCGTCACTTTTCTTTCCATGCTTTCCAGAAATGTCCATGATTTTTCTCCTTTGTGACTAATGAATAAGTGTAAACTTATGTAAATGTATAAAGATGAGTTGCTAGTTTTTTGGGTCTGTTTATTTGCAAAGAATGTAACTCTGAGGAGATGAGAAAAATAATAATAACAGCAAACATGAGCCCCACTTCCAAACCAAAAGCTCACATTTTTCATCTATTTACATTATAATAAATTATTATGTAAATAGATAAAAAATGTAAAGCTTGAGCTCTCATGGCAAAAAGCTGAATTAATTCTGTAAGTTAGAGATCGATCGAAGAATCCCGATACCCGCATTACCAATCAGCTATGGTCTCTTAAACTTAATTCAAATCCATTTAGATGGAAAATCTTGCGCCAAAAAAAATTATTATGCTGCTCTCCTCAACTACAATTCAATTAGGTTTTTTTTGTTTCATTAATCTAGTTCGAGAAAGACAAGCGGGAAAAATTAATCTTCAGGGCTCCTTCTGATGGATTGATTGGGGGAGCTGTGTTTTACTAATTTAGTTCAAGAGGGACAAGTGGGAAACAGGGCTCCTGTTGATACATCGATTGAGGGTATTGTGTTTTACCAGTTTAGCTCGGGAAAGACAAGCGAGAAACAGGGCTCCTACTGATGCATCGATTAGAGGGCATTGTGTTTTACTAATTTAGCTCGAGGGAAACAAGAGGAAAACAGGGCTCCTACTGATGCATCGATTGGGAGTGTTGTGTTTTACTAATTTAGCTCAGTGGAGACGAGCGGAAAACAGGGTTCCTACGGATGGATTGATCGAAAGTATTGTGTTTCACTGATTTAGCTCAAGAGAGACAAGCGGGAAACAATAGTCTTCAAGCAACTGAAACGACCACCTGAGCCTTAAATTAAATAAAGGTGTCTGTCTGTGTAAAGAAAACACTTGTTTTTTCCATGCCAAATAAGCTTGATTTTTCACAACAAAATTCTATTAAGAGACCAAAATGACAAAATATAGCGTCGAGTGCCCCTTTTTTCCCATCTCTCCTTTATAGGTAATTATGTGATTAACTAATAATTGGAAAATTTTTCAGGCAAACTCTTTCCCTCTTAATGCGAAACGTATGGTGAGTTTTACCAGAATGAGTTCAACTGTACGTTTATAACTTTACCAAGCACCCTACGTTACTGACAAATCTTTCACCAGTGGGAAATTGGAGGCGAAAAAAAATTTCCCTCGAATAGGTTGATTGAGACTCCCGTTATACATAAATTAAATTATCAATTTTCTCAGTCATCTTTGCAGAAGCGTGCCTGATTAGCCATACAATGGATAGGCCTGGAAACTATTTAAATAATCACTGGTGGAGGTGACACGGATGCAATCTGGCCGCTATCCAAGAGAAACAAACATCCGCTGGTAGTTGCGTGATTGAGAATTATTGCAACCAGCCTTCTTTGTCACCTGTCACTTTTTAAAATAATGATAATGAATCATTCAGCAATCCCTCTAAATTTGTCGCCTGGCTTTGGAACGCTTTTGCGGACACTGGGTGTTACCATTAAAAAAAATATTAAGACACCTCAAAGTGAACTGTGTAAAATAAGGTAAGATAAGGTAAAGATTTATTATTACGTCTCTACATATTTTTGGCCACATCTAAAGAGGGTTTGTTTGAAATTGTTTTTATATCTGGCGTAGCGCAGGTTCTTTATGTAGAACCCTTAATTTTCAAATATTAAGATTGTGTTAGGATGCTTGTACTACAAGACTGACTGACTCATTAATTTAACGAAATTTATTTCAGATTTTTTACCTCGAATACCTTCGGTTATATAAGTATCTAAGCTTTAAAAAGCAAGAATTAGTTCAAAATTAGATGGTCATATTCGACATTGTATTTTATGATGTTAAAGTAGTATGAAAAATAATGCAATCGATTATCGCCGAATATCGTGGTTCATTCCTCCGAGATATCGTCGATTATTGGAGATATATCTTTTCATTTTGTCGCCAAGAGAGAACGATAAATCGACGAGACGACAACGCTTCAGCAGGCAAGTAAATTTTTCTGGGAAAACAGTAAGTGATTCATATCATACCTACGACCGACCTGAAGCTATATACTCGATTGCGAATGTGAATTAAAGGTCCGTAACAATAAAAAAAAAATTGAACTTTTCTAGTTTATCTCGCCTTCGTCAAACAAAAGCACTCTGCCCAAAGTAGGTTACAGTGATCTCACCAGTTGATCACAATAGCTTAGATAACGCATTATATACGGTGCAATCTAAAGAGCACAAGCGTTACGAATAATGAAACCAATTCCAGCGAACTGATTATTAAATTCGTAATCACCTCCTTAGATTTGCTTATTTTCATCAAAACCCTCTAGCTGTTTCCGAGTTTCATCAAGGCTCTGTGCGATGAAATTAAGGGCCATATTGATTTTTGTTCGAGTCTTTAAACAGCCCCTCTGTCGGATTTTTTAATAAGTCTAGTGGATCACGTACCGGTTTGAAATAAAATGTGCAAAACGATGAATAGAAGAATAAATAATGAAAATAAAAAAATCCGTCGCCGCTTCGCGAAAACCTGAGAGCGGTGAAGGAGCTTGCTATGGACTTAGGTAGTGAAAAACAGGATTGTTATTTTCCTTGGCCGCGGCCGCACTTGATAAGTAAACCCGGTTATTTCTAATAAATCAATCGCTTTTGTCGGCTTTTAATCGAACAGAAGCTGCGTTAACGGTAACCAAGAAGTTAACGTAGAACATGAGTGCAGAGAAAGGAATCGAAAAGAAAGAAAGCGAGAAAATAACATCGTGGCCCTCGAATTCTGCATTTTATGATGTCAAGTTCACCAACTTCATAACCTAGTTCAGTGCCGCCGTTCAAAAGAAATTCCCTTTATTTCATCTTAACCGACCTTTTACCGAGTTAAATTTTTTGAAACTTTAACTAGGTTTCTATGAAAATAACCCAATGAAATATCTTATTGCGGCCGCAGCCACCAGTTTAGCTATTGTATTATTTGTCCATTGATTTACTCAATCGATTTATTTATGTATTCATACGTTCTTAAATTTTAAATTATTAATTAAACTTTTAGGGAGAAAAGATGTCAAACCTAGAGTTACCAAGCCGAAGCTTACCTGTTGTCATAACTGAGGCAAGTGTTTGTATTGCATTGAGTATCACAAGCATCATTGGAAACAGTCTTGTTTGTATAGCAACATATAGAAACCCAAACTTGCGATCAACTTTCAACCTGTACATCATTGCCATAGCAGTTAGCGATTTGCTGTGTGCAACAGTAGATATGCCGTTAGCTTCTACGACACTGATCATTGGAAAATGGGTCTTCGGCGATGCTGTATGCCAGATTCAAGGTTTTGTTGATGTGTTCACCTTTAACGTTACCCCAGCAACCCTCGGCTTGACGGCGTTTAACCGTTACATGAAAATTGTGAAGACAAACCATTACAATAAGATTTTTTCGACTCGCAAATCTAAGATGTGGCTGATTTGCTTGTGGCTTACCTTTGCACTTTATCTGATCATTGCACGATTCACAAATTGGTTACGGATTAAATTTGTCCAAAGCTACGCAGTGTGCGCTTTTGATTTCCCAACTAGTGAAAGTCAAATCGTTCATTACTGTATCACTGTGGGACTGCTTTTTATTTTACCGTTGTTTATCGGTATTTTCAGTTATTATAAGATATATCTTAAAACCCACGAGCATCAACAGAATGTGGTATCATCGCTACAGAACAGAAGTGGAAATGGTGTAGTGAGAAGCTCAGTGAAAGAAACAAACATTAGTCGAGTGTTATTGTTCGTGGCCGCGGGATTTTTGTGTTGCTGGATACCAATGTGGGCACTTGTTCTCTGGTTTCGTTTTTCTCCCGAAACTAGCCCAAGAATTGCAGCCATGCTATCAATGTTTTGCTTTTATTTGAGTGCTTCAGTAAATCCTTTTATTTACGCTTTCACAAATGGTGAGTTCCGAAGGGAATTTCGCAAACTGCTGTCTCGCTACTGTCGAAGGGCAAGAATTGCTGACAACGAAGTCAATGAAGGTGAAGAATAAGAAGCGAACTGTTAAGTCTTCTAGATTTTTCCAGACTAAGATCCTTTATAAAGGTCAAGAGGGATTTATTCTAATTGCTTCTTTTTTTATTCTTTTTATTGCTTGTCGTTTCAATAATTTTTGATGAATATTCTAGATTTCTTCATTTGATATATTTTTTAATGGCCAGTACGGCATTCCAATCTTAGCAGTATATAGGAAGTTTTTCACCAAGAATCAAGTGACACGGCCCAGTTTATCACCAAAAAAAAAAAGTCCTGGAATTAACAAAATGGTCACTAGCTTATCAAACCTTTTTGAAGAGGTGGTGGGACTTTCAAATAACTTACTAGTTAGGAATTACAAGTTTTATGTCGATTGTGTCAAATAAACGTTTGTCGACGACCTACTTAGAAAAGGCGAACTAACTATGAGAAAAAGGTAATTAGAACAAGGATATTGAGCTCGTGAGTATTTGTGTACTGGTCTTGATCAACTGCCAAAAAGAGTGATCACTCTGATAAAATTAATTGTAATTGTTTGTTTTTGAAGTTTGAAAGTGGCCAAAGTGACGACATCTTTAATTGTACAAGCCAAAATCAGCCATGTTTTAACTTACGCTGAGATGACTGAAGCATTCGTGGCACCTTTTCACGCGCAGGATGCAATGAGTGGAAACAATCCTGGAGTGAACAAAATCGTCACTACTAGAACTGTTTTTAGCGATGGAGAGACTTTCAAGTAACTTATCAGACATGAATAACAAGATTTCTGTTTACTTTGAGGAGTAAAATTTTGTCGAAGATTAGGGGGATGCGTGACAACTGTTGAAAAAGAAAATTAGAACTAGACTATTGAGCTGGTGAGTATCGTGCCTGGTCTTGTTCCATTGTCGATAAAGGAGATCCCTCTGAAAGGAAAAACTATAGTTGTTTTTACTGAAGTTTTAAAGTGGGCAATGAGACAAAGTTTTTAATTATATAAGTCAAAATTATTATGCTGAGACGAATGACACATTCGTGACACTCTGATCAAATTGGCTGATAATTAAGGGAGTTAGCGAAGAGCTTTGTGATTGATTTATAGGGTACTTTAAGTATTATAAGACTAGCAGATCCTAAAACAGACCACCCCGCTAACTTAAGAATACAACTCCATAAGGTAAGTGATGTTTTTTGTTCTAAATAGCGTTACTTGTTGCATTATTAATAGTTCAGTGGCTGTGCTTGCCTTTTTTCACTCCATCTTTGGCGAGTCAAAATGAGACTCCCTTTCCGCTTCTCAGAAAGTATGGTGTAGCTCTTTATTGTGTAAATCGGCCGAAAAAAAGTTACAAAGCAGATAGATAGAATAAATTTTAATGGTGTAATAAATATTGCGTGCAGTTTAGCTTACAGCGTACGAATAAAGTGTACAGTTGAGCTGTTACGTGTATGAAAAATTGATCGTCGAATCATGAAAACCTTTGCTTTGGTTAAACAAAGGACGACATCGCATGAGGCAACAGCTTAGAAGAAGCTTTCAGAATGCCTTTATCAATTAAATAGCTGGGATCATTAATTGCATGTACATCACCACAGGGAGCAATCGATAAATTAATATTTTGCATGAATGGATGAAATATATCATGTAAGTCCGTGGCCTAACGTCGGGTACCCGTTTAGCACTTTAACTCCCAATATCTGATTGTCAATTGTCCCCTCTAGCTTCCATACCGTACTGCTGCTTGTGGACGACTCAGGTTAACTCGTGCAATGGATTTGCAAAAGGCCAAAAAGACTCTAGACCCAAGAATGAATTGATTAATGTTACTTGCGGACGTTACTTATTCAGCGGACGGCTCACAACAACACGTGCGTAAGATTTGGAAGGAGACTTAAGAGACTTTGGATTTGAAGCTAGTCTGGCGGATGAGAAGACCACGAAACCCATATACTTTTATGTTTAGTAACAGTGACACTGACAGCTGACAGCTGATTGAGCACAACTTCGGTGCTTTTATTAATTTATTGTTGTGTTTATTGGTTGTGGGCTACGCCAATTAACAGACTTTCATTCTTTTATTGAAGGATTGTTCAAAAACGGTTAATTTACTATGCCTATCTTTTTCCTTTTCCATTCCTTTTCTCTTCTTTTTCCTTTTTTTTAATTTCAATCTACATTCTTCTTCAAATGATATGCTTTCTTATCGTTTCATAAGCCAATCACCGAAGCACAGCGTTTGCCTTTCCTTTACCTGCTTCTGAAGTAAAAGCTATACCTGGTTGTAAAAGCAAAATGATACTGACTGCATGGTAACAAACATATTTCAAATATACCAAGAAGTGTCGATTTCCTCTAATAGCAGAATATAATGCGCATCGATGGCAATGTAGGTTTTACTTTAAATTAAAATCGATCAAGAAAAGTCGAAGCGTAGGGGCGAGACCTTGAACAAACGTGATCAAAATGTGTTTGCCCCTTCATTAGTTAACTTAAGTGCATAAGTCTGCAGGTATAAGAAAGAATCTGTTTTTTTTTGTTTTTGTTTTTTTATGTTTTTTGTTTTCTTTTTTAATTGGATTGAAAGACATTACAGAATTTTCACGAGAATCATTCTAATTCCACTTTATAAACCTGATCAATAACTCTAAAAGATTCTAAAATCAGCTGCACTGTGATAGAAAAGAGGACATACACAGAATCTTCATATACACGAACTTTAATTAACTGAAAAGATGGAGCATTCTTGATTACAGTCACTGTGCGGCTTTCTTCCTCGTGTAAAAAAGACTCAGAATAATTTATATATTATATAAATACCCTTTTTATTCATTGCAAGCAGTGCCTTAAAGTAAAATAATTGCAAACTTTCGTTTCTTTAACAGAAATTTGAGAAATTTGGTAAAGATCTTTCACCTTTGCCGTGTATGGGACAAAATTTAAAACCTATGGCGCGACGGATAAACTCAGCTGCACGACATTAGTTTCTTAATTAGAACATCGTATTGAGATTATAATTTTTCTTCAGATCATTCGACAATAGCAAAATGGAAGCAGAAAAGCTTCTACATTTCACTTATGGGATGGATGAAACTCCACATATCAATTCACCTATCAATTGCTCACGTTGAGTCACTTTCGCGAGAAATAAAACAGAGGCCTGGAAAATGCTAAAGAAACGTTGGTGGATTTTAGAGTGTATGAAGGCCGCTAGCTAAAAAAAAAATCGGCCATTAGTAGCTGCGTAGTTTAGACTTCTAGCAACCAGTTTTCTTTGTTAGCTGTTCCTTTGTAAGAAACAAAATAAAAAAGGCCTTGATTTTTTACGTGTTAACACAGACAAGTGTACAACACCCATTTTAAAATTTCTTATCGACTGACTTTGAAAAGTTTTGCGCAATTCGGAGTGTTACCACTGGGAATTATTTAAACCCCTTTAAGAAAACTGGTTAGGTGAGATAACACATTTTTTCGTTAAAGATATTGCTTTTAACTATTATTTATTTTCAAGTATTTTGGAAACTGATTAGGAAGACCTTTATTTATCCGTTGATTCACACTAAATTCAGGCTGAAATGACAGCAAGAATTAAGAGTTTTAGATATGCAACTTCATATACTTCAACGCTTGTTTCTCTGATACCATGACCGAAACCAACGAATAGCAAGCGTTTTGTAAAAATGCATTGAATAACAGATGCAAATCAACGTCTTCTGTTACAGGAAAAATATCAGGCAAGTAAGAATTTCGAAACTTGTTTGTATGATAATATGACTGAAGGCAATTAATTCGAAAGCGAAAAAATTGGCGCCAGCAGCTGCTATCTTCAATCAAAGCAAAAAGTGAAGTGAATTCAATGGAACTGAGTTTTCAACGGTATTATTCTGATGAAGATCATAATGTATCCAAACTGAAGAAATTCAGTGTAGACGGACCATGGTCACAAGAATGAAGAGGTTCAGACAGAGAGCGCAATGTTTCGACATTTGCTTGCATCACAACATGACTGAAGACAACAAGCCGTAACGGTTTTGTTTATAAAACCTTTTAATGTGCATTTTTTTCTTTTTATGTTCCTTTATTCAAGTGTTTTTAACTACATAATTTTTCGCCTGTAGATACCGACAAACACTCAGGTTAATTAAGGCCTGGGTCACCCTGCCTTTAACACATATTTTTCACAAAATTGAGAATAACCTAGCTATTTTGCGAGGGATTTTTCTCATACTTGGCAGAAATGTGTATCACTACCATCTCTCTCGGACTGAATTGTGGTAGCGTAATATGATACTCTCAACAGCCAAAAACAGTTAATATAAGCGCCAAATTCGTCGGTTGCTTTCTTGAGCAAATTCCCACCACTAAACAGAAGGCAAATCAAAATGCAGTTATCGCTATGAATATTTGAGACGTTTTTCATTGTTTCCCCACTTGGAATGGCTGCCAAAAAAAAAGAGGGATGTGCTAGGCAGATTAAATCAAGTTTTGTCTTTGCGAAGCTGCTTCCCCTATCATGGTTTTCGCCCGAAAAAATCTTAGCCTTTAACTGGTTCCAACCGCTATCAATGAAAGTAATCCCACAGGTTCCTATTTATTTGGAAAAAAGACAAATTAAAACTGTTTAAGAGGTGGGAATTTTGAAAACTCGCAGTTACGTATTCAACTTAGTGTCCGCCATTTTGACACGCGAGTGTTCAGAAGCAATAATTTAACGGCTGATACACTACCAAATACTACTTGGAACAATCTTAGAAGTAATACAGGCAAACTTTGTATACTTTTGATAATATTTATTCTCGTTTTCTGAGGTCGATTGCATCTCTGTAAATCCAGGGTTAGATCGCCTTTGACAGTTATAATAAAACACAAGAAACCAGCTTCTCGTCTCTTAACTTGCAAATTTGGGCGGTAAGAATAAAGAACGTTTGTAATTCTATCCTAAGTAGTATCATATAATGAGACTGAATTACAATTTTGGCGCAAAACTCGAAAGTTATCGCGAGATATGAACACTGATTCAAAGCATTCAAAAGCCTAAA